AAAACCACAAAAAAAAAAAAAAAAAAAAAAAAAAAAAAAAAAAAAAATTGAGCAAAAAAATAAATAATGATAGCACTGGATTATAACCTAAAGTATAAAATAACTACTCATGAGCCCATACTGATATAAATGATCAAATAAATATGTAAATGGGGGAGAAAGCACAAGTCTTCCTTACAGAGTTTTAAATAATATACATAGATACTCCCCCTTCTAGGAGGTGGAGCTTAGTTCTCCCTCTCCTGAGGGTGGGTTGAACTTAGTGACTCATTTGTAGCAAACAGAACATGGAAAAGTGAACATGGTAACTTTGCAGTGGAAGAACCTCCCACACGGCACTTTAACCAAGTGATCATGGGTACCGTTATCATAAATCACACTGATAGCCGGGATCCCCTGAATTTGCTAAGAAGGGCACTTCACCTCTGTGGGCATTCTTCCCCAAATCCACAACCCCAGTCTAATCATGAAAAAACAGACAAACCCAAACTGAGGGACAGTCTACAAAATACCTGACCAGGTTTCCTCAAGTGTGTAAGGCCATTAAAAAACAAGGAAAGCATGAGGGACTATTACTATTGGAAGAGACAAGAGAGATAAAACAATTAAATGCAAAGTGACATTTTGGATTGGATCCTTGTACAGAAAAAGGACATTACTGGGAAAGGGTGGGAATAATACCTGGTGTCATTAATTGTAAATCAAAAATTATTCAAGATAAAAAGCTAAAATATATGGTTGTAAAATGATAGTCCTATAAATAAAAATTGATCCGAAGGTACTTTTTTTTTAGCATCCTCAGTATTTATTAAAAATAGTAATTTAATACTTACATGCCTAGTACCTGATGTATACAGTTGTTTAAAATTGACATGGTCCCTACTCACATGAAACTTGGACTCTTCTGCAGGAGAGAAGCAATAAACAAGTCAATAAGCCAATAAAGATGTAATTCAAATCGGGATAAGATCTGAGGGAAACGAGCAGGATCAATAGAAGCACCTGTACTAGTTCGCTTTCTTTGTGAATATATGAATTATTTTTACAATGAACATATATTCTATTTCAGAAAAAGCTATTTCTCAAGCCTAATTGGGTAGTTATCTTGCAAAACCTTAGCATGTTACCTCATTTCAGTGATTTATTTCTATATCAAAAGAGCCATTATTTGAAATTGCCGTGACTAGCTTTTGCCTACACATAGTATTGTTGCAGGGAAAAGGTAAATCCGTATCTGCCTGATATGCCTAAGTTCTTTGCACCTGTAACAAAATAGACACAAATTATTTAATGAGGGAGAAAAAAAACAATACTTGGGATAAAGGAAGAAGAATTGTTCTGATTCTTAGATTACTGCCTTTACTTGACCAGACTGCTTCCCAAGGGCTTAATATTGACTGATGCTCTACACAGCTAATTTTTAGAGCATATCTTGTAATATGAGGAGTTCTTGTCACAGTTTTTATTCTGTATTGATGGAGCATGATCTTTGAGATAAATAATCCCAGTCCTGAAATCATTAAAATTTCATATTGGATTGCTTTACTTTATTTCCTTTTTACCAGGCTCTTATTCCTAGCTTTTTTCTTCTCTCTCTCTCTCTCTCTCTTTTTACCCTTTCCTTTCCTTTTTCCTTTCCTTCCCTTCCCTTTCCTTTTCTTTTTCCCTTCCTTTCTAAATTAAACTCCTGGCAGTATAAAATAGAGGATAAGTTTGTGTGCCCTGGAGCTGCAGTGAATTCAAGTTCCATTTCAGTTAGTCACTAGTTATGGAGCTCTGGCAATCCGTTCCTCAGTTTTCCTCGTCTATATGGTGAGATGATAATGATACCACCCATCTCCCAGGATTGCTGTGGGGTTAAGATGAATGGATACTGTAAGGTGCTTAGTACAGTGCCTGACTTATAGTAAGTACCCTATATGCAGGACTATTTTATATAATGTTTCCAGGGAACATGAGGAGAAACAGATATTGTTTCTTTATTGCCACCAATAGTTTTCAACATCATTATCATTATCAGGCTCCCAGAAAAATGTAATATTCCATTATTTAGCTTTGAAGAATACTTTTCAGAAGGACTTCTTAGTTTTTAATGTGTGGTATTGAGAAAAGGTTGTGAATATGATGATACTTATCTTGGGGCAGTCAGCTTTAAATCAGGCTGGAAACATTATTCAGCCTTCCAAGTTAGTGAGTGCAACAAGTGTTAGAGCCATTCATGACTTAATATATACTGAATATATGAGCATTTAGAAATAAGACCTGCTAATTGCTGTGGTAGATACATTCCTGTGTGTCCCAGTATTAATCCTATCACTTTTGAAAGACTCTTGAGTGATATATTATGGGAGTTTGATATCATTTAAGTTAGGTATTTTTATATCTTTTGGGTTTTGATGACTGAAACATTGATCATATATAGTTTCATTAGATATATATTATGTATACTTACATACAGTACTTATGTATATAATGCCAATTTAGAGTTTATTAGTGTTTTGGAATGTGCTGATCATTGTAATCACATTTAAAAATCATTTTGTAACAAAACAAACAAAACAAAATCTTGAAATTACCATTCCTTGGTTTCTTCCCTTTCAGTCCTGTGGTTTTTTTGTTTGTTTCCCCAGAAAATGTTCCTGAGAAAGATCTTCATGGAAGACTTTATATCAACCGTGTTTTTCGTATCAGTGCTGAAAGAATGTTTGAATTGCTCTTCACCAGTTCACGCTTTATGCAGAGATTTGCCAATTCTAGGAATATAATCGGTTGGTCTTGTGTTTATCTAATGATAAATATGGGAGAATTTTGTTATCCTTTAAGAGTTGAGCCTATATTAATGATATATGTTGTCGGGGGGGGATAAGGCTTTGATTTTATTTTGGTGATATATAAACTGGTATTTAAGCATTTTGGCTAAATTTACATGTGAGCATTGATTAACTGTTCAACTAGTCAGATCCTACCTACAATTAAGTTCAAACTCTTTGAAACGAAAACTCCGTTTATTTATTAATGTAGCATTTCATTTGGGTTGAACCTTATTTAAAAGGATTCCATTGTGGAGCAATTGGATTCTAGCAGGGTATAAACTTGTATAGTCACTTTGCAAAATGGTTTGGCAGTAAGCTGAACATAAAAATTCTCTCTGACTCTGCAGTTCTACCAGTAAGTATGTGTCCTTCAGAAATGGATACATGTGTGCTCTGAATGACATGTACTACAGTGTTCGTGGCAGCATATTTATAATGGTCCCAAAACAAAACAGCCCAAATATCCACCAGTTACTAGAATGGGTAAACAAATTGTGTGTGTTTACAAAAAAGAATACTATATAGTAATAAAAAAAGCAAATTCCTGCTGCTTTTAACAGTATTCGTAAATCTCACAGATGTAATGTTAAGCTAGAGAAGCCAGACACAAAAGAGTACATACTATGGTTTCTTAATATAAAGTTCAAAACAGGCAAAACTAATTTATGGACACAGAATCAGCATAGTATTTACTGTGTGGAGTGTTGGGTGGGTAGAGAGTGGGAGGGAACTTCTGGGATGTTGGTAAAATCTATCTTGATCTGGGTGATGGTACACAGGTGTGTTTTCTTTGTGCAAATTCATGGAGCTATACTCTTTGATTGCAGTGTCTATGGTATATCTCAATGAAAATACAAAAGAAAAAAGATTCTAGCTAAGAAATTAGTTATACTTATAAAAAGGATTCTAGGATGCCTGGGTGTCTCAGTGGGTTAAAGCCTCTGCCTTCAGCCCAGGTCATGATCCCAGCATCCTGGGATCGAGTCCCTCTTTGGGCTCTCTGCTCAGCAGGGAGCCTGCTTCCCTCTCTCTCTGCCTGCCTCTCTGCCTGCTTGTAATCTCTGTCTATCAAATAACGTAAATAAATAAAAAAAAATTAAAAAGGATTCTATGTGTTGTAAGTTCTATTTTGGTAAACATCTCGAATAAGCTTATAGTTAGTTTGAAACTGATTTTATTCTAAGTATTCCAGAATATTTTATAAACTTTGGGAGCACATGGTTTAGCTTGCTATAATTTTATATAGCAAACAGCAGCAGAGATTCATATAAGTTGAGTCATTTGATATAGTCAAAGAGAAAGTTATTCTACAGTCAATTTAAATATAGTTCATAATTAAGCCACTTTATTAACCATTACATATTACTGCTTTATGTGCAACTCCTATGTAAATATAACAATATTTGTAGATTATATCATTGATAGCTTTTGAGCCCTGTGATTATATTAAGAATTTCATGTTTAAAAAAAATCATTTTTTTCCATTCTTTTAGTTTTAAGAATGCGGAATATTTGGGGGATACAAATTTTCTTCTTCCCTCAGTAGCTTATGTTTAATATATCTCTTCTGAATCTATTTTGTATTTTCTTGCTATTCATATCTGTCTAGAGAACTTGATATTTCAGAAGGGTTGGATATGTTATTTTTCTTAATATTCTAAGATGATGCTTGTTGATACTGTATTGCCATTTTAATGGCTCAAAGTTCCATGAGGAACTAACTGGTGCGAAATGAAATTTGTTTTTTTTTTCTTTCTCTTTCTTTTCTTTCCTTTTAAAAAAATAGATCTTATTTATTTATTTGAGAGAGAGAGAGAGCAGAAGGAGAGACAAAGGGGGAGGAAGAGAGAATCTCAAGCAAACTCCATACTAAACGCAGACCCCAACTCTGTGCTTAATCCCAGGACCCTGAGATCATGACCTGAGCCGAAATCAAGAGTAGGCTGCTTAACTGACTGAGCCAGCCAGGCACCCCTCAAGTTTGTTCTTTGACTCACAACTGTATTAGTTGTCTGATAGCATATCTAGCTTCAATATGGGTCACTACATTTGCTATCTGATGTTACAAGTGGCTTTTGGAAGCAAAGGCTTCTGGCTAATTACAAGTATAAACAGTAATAGGAATGTTGCTATTTAGACCTAGCATTAGTCAAGAGGTTTGCTCCCAAGGAGATGATTTGTTTATGATTGCACACTATTCTGCTCTCTTCTGAACTTGTTACCTGGTAATCAAAGTTCAGTGTTTTGAGAGTGGGGTTCAAAGGCTTCTTTTTATTTTTATTATTTTAAAAAGGTTATTTATTTATTTATTTGAGAGAGAGAGAGAGAGAAAGAGAGCGAGAACAAGCAGGGGAACAGCAGAGGGAGAAGGCGAAGTGGGCTCCCTGCTCAATATGGGGCTCCATCCCAGGACTCTGGGATTGGTCTGAGCCAAAGGCAGACACTTAACCAACTGAGCCATCTAGGTGCCCCACAAAGACTTCTCTTTAATAATATTAAGAAATAGTTCTTTTTTAACAGAAAGATTTGTGTAAAGTCAGTTGTTTGTGGATTTAATCTAATTTCAGCACTAAGATGGTACTATTGGATTTTTTTTAATTAAGGAGCTTTTAAATAACTATTTATTTAAATTTGTGTTTACAGCTGTGTGATACTACTTTTATAATTCAAAACTCAGTGATAAGTCTTTCTATTCAGCTTTTTAATTTTGGAAATTATAGATCTTTAGAAAAGTTGCAAGAATAGTATATTAAAACCCGTATAGCCATTCTCAAGATTCACCATTTTTTTTTGGTGGCAAAATGTACATAACATAAAATATACCATTTGAACTATTTTTTTTAAAAGGTTTTATTTATTTATTTCACAGACAGAGATCACAAGTAGGCAGAGAGGCAGGCAGAAAGAGAGAGGAGGAAGCAGGCTCCCCGTGGAGCAGAGAGCCCGATGTGGGGCTCGATCCCAGGACCCTGGGATCATGACCTGAGCCGAAGGCAGAGGCTTTAAACCACTGAGCCACCCAGGTGCCCCCCCATTTGAACTATTTTTAAGTGTTCAATTCAGTGGCATTAAGTACATTCACATTATGCAAACATCATCACCATCCATCTCCAGAACTGTTTCATCTTCCCAAACTGCAGCTCTACCTATTAAACCATAAGTCTCCGTTCCTCCTTCTCCCAGCTGCTGATGACTATCATTCTACTTTGTGTCTTTATAAATTTGACTGCTTTAGGTACCTCTTATAAGTGGAATCACACAATATTTGTTCCTTTGTGACTGGCTTATTTCACTTAGCATGTCTTCAAGGTTTATCTACGTTGTAGCATGTGTTAGAATTTCCTTCCTTTTTAAGGCTGATTACTATTATATTGTGTATATATAGCACCTTTTGCTTATCCATTCATACACTGATGGAGTTTTGAGTTGTTTCTACATTTTAGTTATTGTGAATAATGCTGCTGTGAACAGTGATGTACAAATATCTGTTTGAGTCCCTGCTTTCAGTTCCCTTGGGTATATACCTAGGAATGGAATTACTGGATTATGGGTGCTTCTATGGTTAGCTTTTTGAGGAATGGCCATACTGTTTTCCAAGTGGTTGCATCATTCCACACCCCCCCCAGCAATGTGTAAAGATTCCAATTTTTCCACATCCTTGCCAGCACTTGTTATTTTCAGTCTTTGTAAAAATAGCCATCCTAATGGGTGTGAAGACTCAACCAATTTTTTTTTAATTTTATTTTTAATAAACATATAATATATTTTTATCCCCAGGGGTACAGGTCTGTGAATCACCAGGTTTACACACTTCACAGCACTCACCATTGCACATACCCTCCCCAATGTCCATAACCCCACCCCCCCTCTCCCAATCCCCCTCCCCCCCCATCAACCCTCTGTTTTGTGAGATTAAGAGTCACTTATGGTTTGTCCCTCTCCCAATCCCATCTTGTTTCATTTACTCTTCTCTTACCCCCTAAAGCCCCATGTTGCATCTCCTCTCCCTCATATCAGGGAGATCATATGATAGTTGTCTTTCTCCGATTGACTTATTTCGCTAAGCATGATACCCTCTAGTTCCATCCACGTTGTCGCAAATGGCAAGATTTCATTTCTTTTGATGGCTGCATAGTATTCCATTGTGTATATATACCACATCTTCTTTATCCATTCGTCTGTTGATGGACATCTAGGTTCTTTCCATAGTTTGGCTATTGTAGACATTGCTGCTATAAACATTTGGGTGCACGTGCCCCTTTGGATCACTACATTTGTATCTTTAGGGTAAATACCCAGTAGTGCAATTGCTGGGTTGTAGCATAGCGGTATTTTCAACTTTCTGAGGAACCTCTATGCTGTTTTCCAGAGTAGCTCCACCAGCTTGCATTTCTAACAACAGTGTAGGAGGGATCCCCTTTCTCTGCATCCTCGCCAACAGCTATCATTTCCTGACTGATTAATTTTAGCCATTCTGACTGGTGTGAGGTGGTATCTCACTGTGGTTTTGATTTGTATTTCCCTTATGCCAAGTGATGTAGAGCACTTTTTCATGTGTCTGTTGGCCATCTGGATGTCTTCTTTGCCTAAATGTCTGTTCATGTCTTCTGCCCATTTCTTGATTGGATTATTTGTTCTTTGGGTGTTGAGTTTGCTAAGTTCTTTATAGATTTTGGACACTAGCCCTTTATCTGATATGTCATTTGCAAATATCTTCTCCCATTCTGTCAGTTGTCTTTTGGTTTTGTTAACTGTTTCCTTTGCTGTGCAAAAGCTTTTGATCTTGATAAAATCCCAATAGTTCATTTTTGCCCTTGCTTCCCTTCCCTTTGGCGATGTTCCTAGGAAGATGTTGCTGCGGCTGAGGTCGAAGAGGTTGCTGCCTGTGTTCTCCTCAAGGATTTTGATGGATTCCTTTCTCACATTGAGGTCCTTCATCCATTTTGAGTCTATTTTCGTGTGTGGTGTAAGGAAATGATCCAATTTCATTTTTCTGCATGTGGCCGTCCAATTTTCCCAACACCATTTATTGAAGAGGCTGTCTTTTTTCCATTGGACATTCTTTCCTGCTTTGTCGAAGATTAGTTGACCATAGAGTTGAGGGTCTATTTCTGGGCTCTCTATTCTGTTCCATTGATCTATGTGTCTGTTTTTGTGCCAGTACCATGCTGTCTTGATGATGACAGCTTTGTAATAGAGCTTGAAGTCCGGAATTGTGATGCCACCAACTTTGGCTTTCTTTTTCAATATTCCTTTGGCTATTCGAGGTCTTTTCTGGTTCCATATAAATTTTAGGATTATTTGTTCCAATTCTTTGAAAAAAATGGATGGTACTTTGATAGGAATTGCATTAAATGTGTAGATTGCTTTAGGTAGCATAGACATTTTCACAATATTTATTCTTCCAATCCAGGAGCATGGAACATTTTTCCATTTCTTTGTGTCTTCCTCAATTTCTTTCATGAGTACTTTATAGTTTTCTGTGTATAGATTCTTAGTCTCTTTGGTTAGGTTTTTTCCTAGGTATCTTATGGTTTTGGGTGCAGTTGTAAATGGGATTGACTCCTTAATTTCTCTTTCTTCTGTCTTGTTGTTGGTGTAGAAAAATGCAACTGATTTCTGTGCATTGATTTTATATCCTGACACTTTACTGAATTCCTGTACAAGTTCTAGCAGTTTTGGAGTGGAGTCTTTTGGGTTTTCCACATATAGTATCATATCATCTGCGAAGAGTGATAGTTTGACTTCTTCTTTGCCGATTTGGATGCCTTTAATTTCCTTTTGTTGTCTGATTGCTGAGGCTAGGACTTCCAGTACTATGTTGAATAGCGGTGGTGATAACGGACATCCCTGCCGTGTTCCTGACCTTAGCGGAAAAGCTTTCAGTTTTTCTCCATTGAGAATGATATTTGCGGAAGACTCACCAATTTTTAAAACGTTATTACATCAAAGGATTCATAAACTATTCTGCAATTCCTGCTTTTTATTACTTTATTTCAGTATATCAAAATGACACATGTGTCCTTTGTATATTGTTGCCATTCTTCTTATAATTTCATCCCCAATTTTTTCTGTCATGATGAGCTTTACTTAGGTACTGGGGGGCTTGATTATTTAAAAATATTGTTAATTATATGATATTCTGGTACACGATATTCAGTAGGATTGTTGGTGACGTTGGTGACAATATAAGTGGAAGACATACTTTTATCCTTGTTAATAGTTGCTTTGTTAACAGCAGAATTCAGTGATATCTTAAAAGTCTGTTGCTAATTAGCAATGGATTATTTGTATAATTTCTTGAAATAGGCTGACATGATCAGAATAATTTTTGGAAAATTATTTTAGATTAAATTTTGTATCTTCTTTCATATACAGCTAAATAAATTATTTTTTACAGCAAATTCTGTGTGTTAAGGGTGCCTGGCTGCTCAGTGAGAAGAGCATGCAACTCTTGATCTTGGGATCATGAGTTCAAGCCCCACATTGGGTGTAGAGATCATAAATAAATAAATATTGTGTATATATAATATATTACAGAATTTTGCATGGTAGATTCTATAGTTTGTGATGCTGTCTTTTTAGTTCCAAGATTTTTTCAGATACTGAAAAGGCTGCTTTGGGGTCCCTCAAAAAATCTGGAGACCCAGCTGTATGAAATAAGTGGAGTAAAATTGCCTATATCATAAAGCTTGCTTCATTTTGTTTGGATGATGGGTAATGGGTTAGTTAAAGGCATCTGTATTTTAGGATGTTACAAATAGCAGTCAAGCATACTAATTGCCTAAGTCCCTGAGTGCTAACAGCATTAGGTGATTTAGTCAAATCTTTGAAAAGAGTTCATGATGCTGTTACCTGTATATTCCTAGTCTTTGCCTTGTTAAATGATCTTTGCTGTATGGTGCTATATTCTAAAATATATTTCTGTTCAAAGTATGTTTTTACTCACTGTGTTATTATTATTTTTTAATAAAGATTTTTTTTTTTTTTGAGAGAGCGCACAAGTTAGGGAGGGGCCAGGGGGAGAGAGAGGAGGAGAAGCGGACTCCCTGCTGAGCATGAGCAGATCCCAGTCCCTCCACCCCCCCAAGATCATGACCTGAGCCATAGGGAAATGCCTACCTGGCTGAGCCACCAAGGTGCCCCTCACTATGTTATTATTAAGCAAATAAGAATTTTAACCAAGATGTTGCCATAAATTCAAAGAGATTTTCTTACAGCTTTCTTAGTATAGAAATGTTATATAGTTATTTATATTCCATAGCTCCCTCCTTGATTAAAGATTTTGACAGATAAGCTATTAACATTACATGATTTCTTATTAACATGATTTTTCCACAAGCTGGGATCAAGGTCTTATTTTTTTTAAATTTTTATTCTTTTTGAGAGCCTTGTTTTTACATAACGACAAATGTCTTTCAAGGTTTTGTCCTTAATAATGGGAATGTTAAAAAGTTGTTCTGTTTGTGTTTGATAAGGCAGGTGCCATTACTTCTCTTTCCAGGTACTGGGAGCTTCAAAATGAAGACTCCAGATGAAACAACTTTTAATTTGTTGTTAAAGTGTATTAATAGACAACAGTTGAGAAGTAAATGAATCAAAGATGTGGAATATGTCATATACAAGAATAGTGCCTTATGTTTAATTTTACTTTAGTGTTGAAATGGTAACAGTCATAAGGAAGTTAGAACTGTCCAAAAATAAAAATTGAAATAATTAAAAACTACTTCGTTCCATTAATCATCAGGGAAATGCAAATCAAAACCACAAGGAGATACCATCTCACACCTGTTAGAATGGCTAGAATCAAAAACACAGGACATAACAAGTGTTGGCAAGGATGTGGAGAAAAAGGAACACTTGTGCACTGTTGGTGGGAATGCAAATTAATGCAGTCACTATGGAAAACAGTATGGAGCTTTCTGAAAATATTAAAAATAGAATTACTGTATGATCCAGTAATTCCATTTTTGGATCTTTACCCAAAGAAAATGAAAGCAATAATTCAAAAAGATACATGTACCCCCATGTTTATTGCAGCATTATTTATGATAGCACAGATATGGAAGCAACCCAGGTGCCCATCAATTGATGAATGGATAAAGAATGGTACATATGTGTGTGTGTGTGTGTAGATATATATAATGGAATATTACCCATCCATAAAAAAGAATGAGATTTTGCCCTTTCCAACAACAGGGATGGGCATGGAGGGTAAAATGCAAAGTGAAATAAGATGGAGAAGGACAAATACAGTATGATTTCATTCATATGTGGAATTTAAGAAAACAAATAACAAAGAACAAAAGAGACAAAAAGCCAGACCTAAATACAGAGAACAAACTGGTGGTAGCCAGAAGGAAGGTGTGTGGAGGCGGATGGGTGAAATACGTGAAGGAGATTAAGAGTACATTTATCATAGGGGCGCCTGGGTGGCTCAGTGGGTTAGAGCCTTTGTTTCTAGCTCAAGTCATGATCCTAGGGTCCTGGGATCGTAGCCCCGCATCGGGCTCTCTGCTCAGCAGGGAGCCTGCTTCCCCTCTCTCTGCCTACTTGTGATCTCTGTCAAAGAAATAAAATCTTAAAAAAAAAAAAGAGTACATTTATCATAGGTAAAGTATAGAATTGTTGAATCATATTGTATACCTGAGGCTAATATAACACTGTATGTTAATTTCAGGTGTACAATATAATAATTATATAATAATACAATATAATATGTACAAAATAATATAATAATATAACAATATAATAAGACAAAAAAACCTACCTCTGATTCCATTTTAAGTCATACTCTTCAGATTTTTAGAACCAACTCTCTTTTTATGTTTGCTGTTATTAGATGTAGTGTCCACCCCTTGGAAAGTAGAACCTGGAGGTGATCAACTGAGAACCATGACCTACACTATAGTCCTTAATAATCCACTTACTGGAAAGTGCACTGCTGCCACTGAAAAACAGGTATGTCTACTCTGTTAGTATTCCAAAATATCATATGTGTGGGGTGAGAGAAGATGACTGTTAGTCACCAGTTTACAAGACGATTTTAAGAAATAAGTGGCCAAAAAAAAAAAAAAAAAAAAGAGGGAGGAGAAACTGTCAGATTAAAAGGAGATTTAAGAGGCATATCAACCAAATCAACCCAATCCTAATTCAAACAAACCAACTAAAAATATATTTATGAGATTTAAGGAATTGCTAATTTTTACATGTAGTAGTGGTATTGCAGCTATGTTTTAAAGAAAAGAGTATCTTTTAAAGACACAGTAAAGAAATTATAAAGAGATACACTGGCATATTTAAGAATAAAATTATACTGGTATCTGGGGTATCCTTTAAAAGTAATCTAGCCAGGCAGAGCATGGTGGTGGAGGGAGGGAGTGTGGGGATGGGATACGGATGAAGCAGGACTGGCAAGAGTTAATGTTGTTCAAGCTGGTTGATGAGTTTGTGAGGCTTCATTACACTTCATTTCTATTTTTGTGTATGTTTGAGCTTTTTTATAATAAAGGGTTTTAAAAAGAACAGTACTGGAATCCAATTACAGGATCCCGTCAGGAGTTAGGGCCAAATAACTAGAGGGCAGCAGTGATGTATGGGAAGAGATTATAAAATACTCAGTGCTCTCCTCAGTGGCCAGCGTGGCACTGTCTAGTGGAGTTCGTGTTTGACCAAATTGTATTGAAGTGTAATGTATCTGTTCTGTAAATAGAAAATATCGTAACATCTGAACTAGTTTTGTGGTTGTGGCTTTTGCCCAATGTTAAAAAGGACTTAAATTTTTCTTTTTCAAAAGATTTTCAAACATTTAAGAAAAGTTTGGTATTTTGATATGGGGGTCTTTGATAACCTTGAAAAGCTATGATTAAAATGAGGAAGGCTTGGTCATCAAACACTCCAAATTCTGTTTTGGGAAAGCTGTGTTTTCTTCGGTCATCCTCTTCCTTCACTATTTTGGTGAAGGGTGATTGTTAAATTTTTAAGAATTTTGGAGTGGATCCTCGCTTCGTTCAATTGAATTTTGAATTGTTCCCCTATCGGGAACATTTAAAATCCTTTGTAAACTAATAACATACACAAGAAACTATAAATTTTCTCTTTCTTCCTCAAACCTAAAAGAAAGAAAAAAATGATTATGCAATGAAATGGCAGAGAGGCAGCAAAATCTACTTTTGTGAATCCTGTCTTCTCAATTCATAGACAGCACAGCCAACATGGAGGCTTTTCCAGTTTGAGAAGGAATTCTAGTTATATATATTCTAAATTGGCAAGGAGTTTAATATATTAAACTTGTACATGCAAAATTTTTTTAAATCTTATTTTGGCAGACACTGTATAAAGAAAGTCGGGAAGCACAATTTTATTTGGTAGATTCAGAAGTCCTGACACATGATGTTCCCTACCATGATTACTTCTATACCCTGAACAGATACCATATCATCCGATCCTCAAAACAGAAATGCCGGCTGAGGTGAGCTATCGTAAATGAGTGTTTTAGCCAGGCTAGGTGAGATTATATTCTGGAACATACATATCAATCCTAAAATCTTAGTAGCCTTACACAACCAAGCTTTATTCGCTGTTCACATTACATGTCCATGTCCGCAGAGGAATGGGGTTCCTCACTCAAGGCCACATGGTAATGAGTGCTTTGACATCCTGGAGCAGCACAATCCAGAATATGTGTCATTTTTATTGCTACAGGAAGAGAAAGTTGTAGAACTGTGTTCACAGTCCAGTGGCCAGAACTAGTCACAGGGCCCTATTTAATGTCAGGAGCACATGGTTAGCACATTGTTGCAATGGGAAATCAGAGATGGTTGAGCATCAAAGATAGTGATGGCCCACCATGGGCTTTGCCTGGTTTTAGCTAATGTAGTTACTTTCACCTAGTTTATGACCACTAGAGATTTTTTATAAAAGGCGTTTAGGAAATTTAGAATTTATTTTGAGCCTTTATTGCTATTTAAGTAAAGAAAACTCGGGGCTAGAGATAGAAAAAAATGAAATGCCAAGTACTTAGAAGGAAAATTTCATGAAGTTATTAGCAGCATACAGCAATTTTTTAAGAAGTCCTCATCAGTGAACAAATTTTCTTTTATGATTAATGATTTTGAGTCTTTTTGGCTTTCCACTGAACATAATCTTACACTTAATTGCAATGTTAATAGAACTAAATTCTTTCCTTTAAAGAATTATTCTTCTTTCCTCCTTATTTTATTAGAGTTTCCACTGATTTGAAATACAGAAAACAACCATGGGCCATTATCAAATCTCTAATTGAAAAGAATTCCTGGAGTTCCTTGGAGGACTATTTCAAACAGCTTGGTTTGTAAATTTCTTCATTTATCTATTTTTGTAAAGATAGTATTTATTAACAAAACAGATTGATTCTTCATTTGGCTTCATAACTGGAACTAGTAGATGATGTTGGATTGACTCCCAACATCTAATGATACCCCACTTGGAATTTGAAAACTTTTAATTTTAATTGGTCTAACAAACATTTACATTATGTTTATTATATGCCAGATGTGTTTGTGTGCTTGATAAATATTAGTCCCTTAGAAACCTGTGGGGTAGATATTGTTATTTTTTCCCATTTTACTAAAGAATAAATATTGAAAGAGAGAGAAGTTAAGTGACTTGTCCAAGATCACAGTTAGGAGCTATCACAGCCTCTTCAAGGAGCCAAGGAAGCTGACTGCAGTGAGAGACTGTGTAACTTGATCACAAATACGTACTTGTGCTCCTTGGTGCCTCCCCCCCCCACCCCACCCGCAGTCCTTAGGAATGCAGCTTCCCTGGGTTTACACAGGACCACTTAGCAACGGTAGGTATCATGTACATGTATGGATTTGGTGGCGATGGGTAGTAGACTGGGGAAGTGATATTGTTGTTACATTTGGATATTCCTTAAAATAAAACATGACAAATATATATATACATGACTATAAATTAATTATTTTTTTTAAAGATTTTATCTATTTATTTGACAGAGAGAGAGACATCAAGAGAGGGAACACAAGCAGGGGGAGTGGGAGAGGCAGAAGCAGGCTTCCTGCTGAGTGCGGAGCCAGCCCGATGCGGGTCTCGATCCCAGAACCACGACCAGGATCATGACCCAAGCTGAAGGCAGATGCTTAATGACTGGGCAACCCATGCACCCCTATAATTAATTCTGGTTAAAGAAAAGCAGGGTCAGTCAGTTCAGGGTAAACTAAGTCTTCATCATCTAATTTGTTGATTATTTTCCTTGCTCTTCTCTCTTGGCTATTCATTATTAAACTCCTAATCAGGAGCAAAGAAAATGAAATTCAAAAATTAGTTTGGCCACTGGATAATGAACTTCTAATAAAAAATCTGGTGAAGGAAAGGTTGAAACAAATGACAAAAATGAGGTTTTTTTGTTGTTTGTAGATTTTCCTTATTAGGACTTACTTTTTTACAAACCCTCATTGAAAACTAGACCTATAATATGCTACTTCTTCCGTTGATATTGACAATCAACTACCACAAAATATCTTGGAAGTCTTTCTAATGTGCCAATGTAAGTGGGTAGCCTGTTGTTTTCATAACTGAAATCATTATGTTAATATTTAATATAGCACATGGTGAATTTGCTCTGATGATCCCATCATTTATTAATATAGATAATTCTTCCTAGAGTAGTGACCCCTCATTATAGGATCACTTTACCCTCCAAAACTTTTTATTAAGAGTAAGGTTTGGATCTAGGCCATGAGAACTTAATATTTAAAGTTACCAAGGCTTAAAAAAACAAAACAAAACAAACCCCTAAACACAAAACAACCCCTCCTGCCCCTGTATCTTATAGTTGAAGTTTCTCCACTGTCTAAAGCTTTCTTTTTTCCTTCATAGAATCAGACTTGTTAATGGAAGAATCTATGTTGAATCAGTCCATTGAGGACACCGGAAAACTTAGTGGCTTGAGAAGGAGAAGGCGAACATTCAACCGAACAGCAGAAACAGTTCCTAAACTTTCTTCTCAGTGTTCTTCTGGAGATGTGGGCTTAGATGCCAGAGGGGACATTTCAGGTAGCTGCTATCGGGTAAACAGAGATGGAAGATTATAGTTTACTTACATCAAGCGGAGTATGTGTCTTGTTTATAGACAAGACAGGAGGTCTCCCTTTTTCCTCTTCTTTTTTTTTTTTTTTTTTCATTTTTCCTCTTCTGATAATGTTTATCTGAGTTCTTTAAAAATAACTAATGTATAAATGTAAAGAAGCAGTTGCAAAATGGCAGGCATATGGCCAGTCGATGTGTTTTTTGGGGCCCGTGTGATATTTTAAAAATTGGATGTTTTTATATGAAAACTCAGATCTGACAGTTCTGGACTCAAATCCCTTCACAGCAACAATCAGTCAGAGCTTAGTAGTAGCTTCTCCAATAGACAGAGCATGTGCTCCCCAAGTCACCAGTCCCTATCACTGTCCCTGGCTGCTAGATGCTTCACTCAAGAATTTTTGACCTCGCATATTTACAGACATTTGATTTCTACCCTTGAGAGTACTAAAGTGCTTGTATGTTTTTAATTCTTATGTACTCTCAGGTCCAGCCCAAAAAGTTCCAAAGATGGAATTTGACTTTTATTATCCCCACTCTCAATTTTGAAAACACCTTGTCTCTACTGTTACTTCCTCCCTCTCAGAGCTATAAAACTCTCTTCCTTCTCACCTCTCTACTTATCAATTCCTCTTCTAAGGCTTATATCTTAGTGTGAATGTTTATCTGCTATTTAAGCTTAATAATATTTTAGTTTTGGAATTTAAAAGTTAGGGCAACAGAGAACAGGTGAGGATGATTAAAAAACTTTTTTAAGGGGAGAAGCATTGTACAAAAACCCAGCTTAAACATTATTTGCAGAGATGGAACTTAGCTAGAGATCATACATGATACTTTGAATTGCTTATTTTAGAGCAAATTAATTTTTAATGTAGGCTGAATTTGCAGGACCGTTGTAGGTTTTCTTTTTGTGGATTTGTTTCAAATTAGTGAAGATATTAGAAATCAACAAAGGGTGTTGGGAATTTACATCAAGTTGTCTTTACAAATCATGTAAAAATTTTCTTCTCTAGTTCTTTTCAAATGAAATTAAATTTTAACCAGTGTTAATCACAATCCTGTTCTAATATGTTTTTCTGTGTGTGATCTGCAGGAAAGAAAAAGGAAATGGAAAGCTATAACATTGCCCTTATTGTGGTGATGAGTATTTTGTAAGTATTTGTTTTGAGTGCTTATTTTGCTTGTGTCTTCACATATCTTTTAACAGTTTCTAAAAGAATTTGGATTTGTATGTTATTGTGTAAAAATTGCCACTATTTGACTAATTTATAAAATTAGTATATATAAAATATATATAGTATATATATACTATATATATATAGTATATATAGTATATAAAAACTAATTTATAAAAACATTAATTTTATATGCTTCAATCTGATAGTTTTTTATTTTCAGGGGAATTATTAAATTTGAGCAAATGCCAAGTACACAGTCAATAAGTATTTTTAATTAATTAGTTAATTAGGTAGGCTTCATACATGGAGCCCAACACAGGGCTTGAACTCATAACCCTGAGATCATGACCTGAGCTGAGATCAAGCATCAGATACTTAACTGACTGAGCCACGCAGACACCACTAATGTTTTTTTTAATTAATCTGACTTTTTTCTACCATCATAGATTTTTATTGGAAGTTCCATAAACTTAAAGAGAATATTTATATATGTAGCTGGTGAGATCCCAATAGTGTTATTTTGCACTATTTAATTAGACCAGTGATTCTTACCCTTTAAGATCACTTTCTAAAATGCAGACTTCTAGACCCCAGTCCCAGAGATTGAGTTAGTAGGTCTTGAGCAAGAATCTACTCAGGAAGACATACTTAGACTATTTTTTACACGGCTGTATTTGAGTATTGAGGTAGTCAATTAGATTTAATTGAATTGGTTCTGACTGGGTGATACACTCTTGGTGAATATTTTTTGAAATGAAGTTCTCATACCAGCTGCTTTTTCTAAATATAGATTTCAGAATGTAGAAAATGTTTGATATACAAAAGGTTTTCATATGCTCCTTAAGTTGGTTTGCTATGACAATTTTGAATATTAAATATTATCAGTGATCTTTTATGGTACTATGCAAAAAATTTATAGTCAGATGTTGAAATGTTGATTTACATACGATTTCAGTTCTTGCTCTTACCTTAGGTCTCATTTTTAGCAAAATCCTCTTCTGGGCAGGTACAGATGAATACTGTATATATTTAAGGGTAAGCCAATATTTTAACAGAAAAAATAAGAGAGATATGATGCCACCTACATATTTGCATATATGTATAATAAGAAATATATCCATCAATTGAAAGGCTGCTATGAGAACAAATAGAGCAAGTTCATTAGCATGTAACATTTTATATATGACAACATTCATGTATATTTGGGATTTGATACTTCCTTTGTCTAAGTTGAACTAGAAAAAATTTTTGCTGGATAGTAATTTAAAAAATTTGTTTTGGTTTTCCATGGGAGTAAGGTGCCAGTTCATATATGTAAGATCAAGTCTATATTGATCTTCATTTCCTTTTTGAAGTGCAGCATTATGGGTGTATAATTGCTTAAGCTAGAGGCACCCAAAAATAGATCTGGAAAGCTTATCTGGTAGATTTCTAAGCTGGTGGTTGCACCTCAGGTCTGGCTGGGATTCCTCCCAGAGAAGAGAGATATCAGGGACAATCCCAACCTGCTTTCTTTGAGGACTTTACTGTCACTCTAGTTACTTTTCAACCTTTACTTCACTATTTAATACCTAAATATAATTATTTCATATAATAAAATAGGAATAACTGATTTAAATAGTAATAATTGGAAACTACTCTAGAACAACATACATTTTTAGAGTTTTGTGTGTATATTCTATATGAGCCGAGCTTTAGGCCTGGACAAGAGTGAATTGACCAGGTATTATTTGCTCTGCCTAGTTTGCTGTTGCTAGTTTTGTTGAATGTGACGCTGTTTCTGAAGCTGTCAAAGATAGAATATGCTGCTCAGTCCTTTTACCATCTCCACCTCCAAGAAGAGAGATCTTTACAGTAAGTCTTTCCCCCCAACCTGTTATTATTTCAATAATTCTTTAGTTGTAGAAAACTTAATTCTGGTTTAGAGATTTGGATCTGCTAACTGTTCTGTAGTCAGAAAGTTTTTTTGTTTATTTGCAAAGTTATAGGACATGAATGGTTTTTAGAAATGAAAGATCAGAAGCTATTCCCGATTTTTAAGGTTTTGTTTTTTTATTTTCCCCAGTTTAGCCTCTGATATGGTGTCAGGAGTGGAAAGTATTCAAAAGAAAAAAGACCAGGCCCATCATTTAAAAGGAGTGCTCCGAGACTCCATCTTGATGCTCGAACAGGTACCGTAGGACTTAATACTTTCATAGAGGTATGAACCAGCTGCTCCTCTGGTCGTGAGAAGAGTCATGATACCATTATTTGAAGAAAGTCCCCTCCTAGAGGCAACTACCCTTGCCCGTTTCTGTATGATGCATTTTACATGTATAGTCACTTGTATTTTTTTCAAGATCAAAGCCTACTGTATACACTGTTGTATGCCCTCATTTTATAATTAGTAATATATTTTGAAGATGTTTCTTTATCAGCATGAACATTTGACTCTTGAATAATGGTGGGGTTAGGGGAGCTGACACCTACATAGTCGAAAATTGTGTGTAACTTTTGACTCCCCACGAACTTAACTACATATAGCCTACTGTTGAGCAGAAGCCTTACTGATAACACAGTCAATTGTTATTTTGTATGTTATATGTATTATATGCTATATTTTTATAATAAAGTTAAGCTAGAGAAAAGAAAATGTTATTAAGAAAATCATAAAGAAGAGAAAACACATTTACAGTGGTGTCCTGTAAAAAACTTTGAGTGGTCCCATGCCATTCAAACCCATGTTGTTCAAAGGGCAACTGTATACATCTAAATCATTCTTTTTATTGATGCTTCTATATAAAAATTTATGCTTAATAGTAACTCTTTTCATAAAAATGATAGGTCTTGTATACACTGTTATTTTATCTATTATCCTTATATCTTGGAGATGCTTTGATATTAGCATATAAAGGACTTCCTCTTTTTTTAACAACTGCATAGAATTCAAACTGTATAAATGTGGTACAATTAATTATTTCACCAGTTCTCCATTGAAGAATGACCATTTAAGTTATTTTGATGTTTTGCTATAAACATTTATCTCTTGAACACAGTATTATCGGTATGTGCTGCTCAGTTCCATGAACCAAAACTTAGGATTCCCTTTGAAAAATAAAGATTACTGTTTCCATTATGATATAGTATATGCATGCTTTTCAAGATTGAAAACTGGAGAGTGGTGGAAGAGAAGAAAACCTATAGTTCTAGCATTCAGTCATTAATATTTTGTTTCCTTCCATTCTTTCTTCTGTGCATTGGTTTGTTTTTTAGAAGATCCAGTTATTGAGCATTTTTTAGGATATCACGTGGGGCATTAAAGATGACATCTTCCACTAGGCATTCTTCTAATGCACAGTAGCTACAGCTGCTGGTGACATTCTCCATCCTCCCTCCCCTGGCAAGAGTGGGTCATATTTCCATTTTTCCTCCTCAGCGTCCTATTTCCCCAACTTTCTACTGATAACCTTGCCTCAGGAGGAAAGAGAGTTTTTCTCTCCTTCTATACCCAAATCTAAGATCTCCAGTCGCTGCACCCCATCCTCTTGTCCATGCCTGTCAGAGCAGTGCTCTGCCTGTAGGGAGATTACCAGCAGGTGTTAGTGGGAGACTCCATCCATCACCCTCCAGCATCCTGTTTTCATTTTCCCTGGTCAGCTGGATCGTTCCCATCTGCACATGGTCCTGCTGTGCGCTCTCCTACATTAAAGCACCCACACCATCCACATCCTTCTCCTCCTTCCCATCTCTCTCGCTGTCTTTCACAGTCTGGCTTTTTCAGAGTTGTCTGCTGTGGCTGTCACTACTTTATCCTTCATAACCCATTCACTTTTTTAAGGTTTTATTTTCACCAAAGTGACTCCTTCACATGGTTAACTTTTCTACAAGGTTTTTTCAGAAAAACAGTAGTCCCACTATGTATTTTGCCAAACACAACAATCTTTAACTCTTTTAGTTTCTTTTTGTGTTTACCTCCATGCTGATAAGTAACAAGCATGTATTGATACTTCTTGATTTTTCAGTTTTAGACATGACCTTTCGACCTCCTATTATGGAAGACAAAGGTTTTCTTTTCTTTCATCTCTTCTTGTCCTCTTTTCTGATTCCCCCATCCTCCCAAGGAAGTTATAATTTTGGTGAGATCAATATCCAGTGTTTGCTTTGTTTTGATTAAGTTTTCTATTCTGAGCTGAGCCATGGAATAAACCATGACTACTTTTTCTTTTCTGTGCTTTTTCTTTTCTTTTTTTTTTTTTTTTTTAGATTTTATTTATTTATTTGACAGAGAGATCACAAGCAGGCAGAGAGGCAGGCAGAGAGAGAGGAGGAAGCAGGCTCCCTGCTGAGCAGAGAGCCCGATGCGGGGCTCGATCCCAGGACTCTGAGATCATGACCTGAGCCGAAGGCAGTGGCTTAACCCACTGAGCCACCCAGGCGCCCTTCTGTGCTTTTTCTTATCCTTGAAATTGTTTTATGACAATTGATTAGTTTATTGTATTATTTATAAGTATCTCATCTTCTACAGCTCTGCCTCTTGTAACCTTCATTCACCTCAGGTATTCTATGAGTGGAGCCTTCTGACTGGCTCTAGTCAGGCCCAGGGGCCCTCTCTGCAGGTGCACAGCTTTCAGCCTGGGGATTCCTGTTGAGTACCCCCTCTGTTTCCTATATCCAGAATGTTTTCTGCTTTCTTGGTTTACTCCTTTCTTTTAATGGAGCACATCCTCTAGTAGCTTCCTGAGAAAGAGAACGTGGAGGTAAATATTTTAAGACTTCCCTAGTGTGAGAAGTTTTTATTCTGTCCTTCCCCTTGATGAATAGTTTGGCTGGAGATAGAATTTTAGCTTGGAAACAATGTTCCTTCAGAGCATTGCTCCATTGTTTTTCAACTTCCAGTGTTGAGAATTCTGAGGCTGTTACCATTTCTCATTCTTCAGTCTGGAAACTCAGGCCCTTTAGTTCTGGGAAATACTGAGTTACACAGTTGATGATCTCGTCCCCTCCACTCTCCCTCTTCTGACTTTCTAGGGCTCCTGTAATTCAGATGTCTGCCTTCTTTTGTACAGGCTGTCTAATCTTCTTATTTTTTCTTTCCAGCTTCTATCTCTTTGCTTTTTTGTTCTGCTTCCTCAGAGTTCCTCAACTTAATCTTCACATTCTTCTTCCAATTTTTGCTAACAAGTTTTAAATTTCAAAGACCTATTACTTTCCTGAATTTTCTTTTTTTTTATACCATTGTGATCCTTTAAAATGACTATAGTATCTTCATCTCTCTGATCATATTACTGATGGTTAATAATTTTTCCCCTTCTTCTTGCCTACTTGCTTTACATCAAGATCCTTTCCCCCTGTTTTGATATCTATCCTTAGAGTAAGAGGATTTCACTAGATGTCTGTAGTCTTTGGCTGTCTACTTGTGTGTATCAGAAGCTCTTAAGCTCTTAATGTGGATTGGTTTGATATACCCTGAACTTCTCTGTAGATCTGGCAGGGCTGTTGGTTGAGAAATCCTGGTATCACTATCTTTAGGTCCTTCCTCTTAGATTGGTCAGTTTCCATAGAGAATAGCCTTCCAGTCTCCATCTGAAGGATTAAGGGCTGGCTGCCAGCATTTTAGGAGCAGAGTGAAAGTAAGAGGGATGCAGGAGGGCAGGGCGTAGGGGGATGGTCTCAACACTTTTTTTGTATAATCGTCATTTTTAGTTCTTTTCTCTTTATTCCAACTTCCGAGATTTCTGTCAATTCCCGAGGCTTTTGAGGCTTCTGGGTAAATTTGGTTGGTTCTCAAGCTTTCTCTACAGTTAGTTTAGGATTCCACTTTTTCTGGTCTGCTAAGTCATCCATCTGCTTTCTAGTTTCCGATGTTGTGTTGTTGCTTTTGCTGTTTCTGTTTTCCCTGTCCTCGTGGATTTATGCCTAAAAAAATCCTTTTATTGTGCTTTTAGTGGGGTTTCAGGAGGGAGCAAAATTAGATACCTATATTTAAGCCACTCATTTGCTCTTCAGCCTACTCCTGCCTTGTCTTCTTCCCCCATGTCGTCCAATGAAATTGCTCAAGCTAAGGTCCCCAGTGACCTCTGGCTTTTAAAATTAATATACATTTTTTTAGTTTACATCTTACTGTGTGAACATTTGACAAAAGCTGACCACTCCTTTCTTGAAGCGTATCTAATCTTTCCTTCTTTAAAACCATGGAAGACCCTGGGGCACCTGGGTGGCTCAATTGTTGAGTGTCTGCCTTCAGCTCAGGTCATGATTCCACGGCCCTGTGATCGAGCCCTGCATTGGGCTCCCTGCTCTGTGAGCCTGCTTCTCCCTCTCCCTCTGCCTGCTGCTCCCCCTGTTGTGCTCTCTTTCTCTCTCTGTCAAATAAATAAATAAAATCTTAAAAAAAAAAAGAAATTTTAATTAAGAAAAAAAGAAAAACCCAGCTTTCGTGTGATATAAATGACATATTATAAAATTCACCTTTTTTTTTTTTTTAAAGATTTTATTTATTTATTTGACAGACAGAGATCACAAGTAGGCAGAGAGGCAGGCAGAGAGAGAGGAGGAAGCAGACTCCCCACGGAGCAGAGAGCCCGATGCGGGGCTCGATCCTAGAACCCTGGGATCATGACCTGAGCCGAAGGCAGAGGCTTTAACCCACTGAGCCACCCAGGTGCCCCTAAAATTCACCTTTTAAAGAATTTCTAGCATATTCACAAAGTTGTACAGCCATCACTACTGCCTAAATTCTAGAGCATTTTTATCACCCCCAAATGAAATCCTGTACCCATTAGCAGTCTCTCAACTCCTACAATCACTAATCTACTTTTTATATCTATAGGTTTGCTCATTCTGGGCATTTCACATAAATGGAATTATTATGGTCTTTGTGACTGTCTCTTGTACTTAGCATAAAGCAAAACTGCTTTTTGCTGGTTAAAACCATCTCCTCTCCCTGGCCTAGTACTGCCAGGCCTTTTGTGTTAGATTCTCTTCCCTTCTCCTCTACTTCCCTCTTCCCTTCTCCTCTACTTCCCATTAGGTGGTCTCATCCACTCCCCTTGCTTGTGCTGCACATGCCATTGATTCCCAAATCCATCTCTCTTACCCGGACCTCTTCCCTGAGCCCCAGGCTCACGCAGTCACCTGATGACTGGCATCTTCACATGGATGCTAACGGGCCACCACTAACTGATCATGTCCAAAACAGAATTCAGTTTTCATCCTGAGCCGGACTGACTCTACTCTACCTGACGTATTTCAGAAAATGACACTGCCTTCCTCCAGTCAAAAACTTAATGCCTTGTGGAATTATATATTTATATACGTGATGATTCGTTTTAGTTCTGTATTCCTCACTGGTCTGTAAGCTCCATGAAGGCAGGGTTAGTGCCTTTCTGGTCTACCATTGTATACCCTGTGCTCTGCTTAGTATATACCCAGCATGTAATAGGTCAGCAATTAATATTTGCTGAATGAATGAACAAATGAATGAATATAAAGAAGCATAAAACAGAATTCTTGCTCTCAAGTTGCCTGTAATTTTATTACAGAAATCAGATGTCCATGTGTATTGTTAAAAACTATAAAAAAGTACAAAGTTAAGTGTCAAGTAAGTGGTAATACTTTGGGAGTTTAAAGGCAGGATGATTACGGAAGGCAACACGGAGAGGGTGGGGATGGGGAAGTTCTAAATGGATGAAGACAAGGTTGAGCATAATAGCAACAGAGGCCTGCAGGGAGAACCAGATTCGTTTGGGGGATAGTGGAGAGACCAGGGCAACCTGAGAAACCATTTAGAAAACCCATCTGCTGGGGGGCAGCATGCACAGCAGGACAGCGGAGGGAGAGGTGTAGGACCACAGCGGACAGGAAGAGCTTAGCAGTCATGCTGATGTGTTTTATAAATTCAGTCTTTTATTTGGGCATCAGTATAAACCAAACTATATTGAATATAAATATAAACATTTGGCATAAAAATGAGAAAACATGTTAAACTGATTTTGAAAATTAATTTTGTTTGCAGTTAAAGAGCTCACTCATTATGCTTCAGAGAACTTTTGATCTACTAAATAAGAACAAGACTGGCATGACTGTCGAAAGCTAGTGATCTCAAGGCCTGAAATTGTAGAGATACTTGGAACTAAAAGGAAACATCTTAAAGAAAACTAGAGGATGAAGCATTTTAATTGTCATTGGAACATTTCCACATTTGCTTATTATTGGTACTTCTAACATGAACATTCTTTTTAATAACACAGAATTTGATAAGTAGTTTCTGATGGTCTTAACAATCCATTCTTCACTTCTTATACATAATTCCAAGCAGTGAATTTCTCCAGCGAAGCATGAAATATTTTGTGGATTTGAATTTCTGATACAAAGAGAAAATGAGACACTCTGAACTGATTTTTACAGTGAGGTTTAAAGTTTGATGCTTTATCTGTTAGCATAGAATCAGTAGGTGTCCAGTAGGCTGCTTTCCCAGTTGAGATACATTCAAGAGGCTAAAGAAGACAATAGAAGAATAAACCTTTTTATCATTACTACTTTTGAAGGACCAGTCTTCAGGCATATATTATAACATTTCTCAGTTTGTGTACTGTAAATATTACAATGTCTTCACTTATTTAGCATGTAAATTCAACAGTCAAACCTTTTGAGTCTGCAGGTTGGTAATTATTATCTGAAATATTCTTGAGCTATGTTGTATTTTTCTAAAGAGATAGTTGTTTCTTCTTCAGGTAGCTATCAGAGGTGAGATTATCTTGCCCCTTCATGTATCAGATAGTGCAAGAGTGAATCTGGAAGAGGAAACATATAGGATAGCAACACTCAAAATGAAGAACCATGCTCTGATTTTATAAAACAGAGGATTACATTAAAATCTGGGCATTTGGTGACAGATCAGATGAATACTTGAACTAAGCTTGGCTTCAGCTTAGCAGTCTTTCATGGTGGAAGTGAACCACCTGGTTGAAAATAATTTGTGGGTTACTTTTCAGTAGCCACATATGTCTTCATTTATTCATTCTTGTGTGCGGCTTGTTTCAGCTGGTAAGTTATAACCAGACACGAACTTCTAGCTCTTCAGTAAAAACTTTTGGGGCATTATGTCCCATTACTAGGGCCCTGACTGAAATTCAAAGTCAGACAGACGTTTTGGCTCTTTCATGAAAAGTTTTTAGGCGTAGATGTCTCAATACAAGCGATGTCTTTGGGACAAGAGAAAGACAGTGCTGAATGATTTGTATATATTCTCACTGTTTGGACAATGCTTGCCTTAATTAAATGTTTCTTTCCCCAGAGCCACAGGAGATAGCTAAAGTCATTTTTGAGATGCCTGTAGAGAATGAAAATATTGACTTAATTACAGGGAAAATGGATTTCTCTGGGTGATTTCCAACAAAATTATCTTGGGGGTACCAGTGTACTTACCTGGGGATTTTTTGATTTATGAAGTGTGGCTGTGACTGAGTCACTGGATTATAAACTTGAAGACTTTGTTCTCTGTTAAATTCACAAAAATGATCAGTGGCAAGCTGAATATTTTTGTGATTAAAACTTGTACTTCATAAATATACCTCAAAGAAAATTACCAAAGTTGCTTTATAGATTAAGACTAAACATGTATGTATGTAGAACTTAATTAATTGCATTTGAGCCTGTTGTGTAAATTGAGTATCAATAAAACCCAAAATGTCTTTAGTTGTAGTTTTTCTTTTTCTGTTAAAAAAAAACAAAAACAAAAACAAAAAAAACAACAACATGGGGCGCCTAGGTGGCTCAGTGGGTTAAGCCGCTGCCTTCGGCTCAGGTCATGTTCTCAGGGTCATGGGATCGAGCCCCACATCAGGCTCTCTGCTCAGCAGGGAGCCTGCTTCCCTCTCTCTCTCTGCCTGCCTCTCTGTCTACTTGTGATCTCTCTCTGTCAAATAAATAAATAAAATCTTTAAAAACAACAACAACAACAAAAAGCACAAATAACTAGGAACTTGCTATAGTGAAAATGTGTATATGGGCCTACACTTTTTAAAAAATTTTGTGCAAAAATAAAACCCAAAGAGGAGTCATTTCATTTCAAATATGCAGACTGTTTGATTTCAAATATGCAGACTGCTGGGACAAAAGTACTAGGCCTGCCGGTCGAACGTAGAATCTGCTCGCCAGAAATGAAAAAGAACCAGCTTTATAAATGAACAGATCAGGGACAGCGATGGGCCTTTAAGGGAAGGCTGGAGAATTTGGGGGCGGTGCCTCGGTAACAATTTGCGGTGGTGATCTCCACCTAAGCCTGTTACCCGCCTCCGAATGAAGACTGGACGACCCACGGGTCTCCAGGGCTTGGGGAATCCTCCGGGTTCCCGGGTTTCCCGTCTTTCCGTCCGCACCTCCCCTGGCCGAGGGCTCTGGGGTTGCCCCGCCCACGTACCGCCCGCAGGCACCCGCGGGGCAGCACAGGGGCCGGTCGGGGCGGAGGTGCCGGGCCAGCCCTGGGCCCCGCCGCCTGCACCCCACCCCCAGGTGCCGGTCCTAAGGTCCTCGCTACCTCCGGGCGCCAGGACCTCGGGCCGGGGGAGGGGCCTGGCCGGCGGGCTCTGCGAGGCTGTGGCCGCCGCACGTGCGGGCGGGCGGGGATCCCCGGCGCCGGGGGCGGGGCACCCGGAAGCGCGCGCGGACTTGCCACGCCGAGCGGGCGGGCAGGAGGGCGGCGGGGAGGCGGGCGCGCTGCCCGGGCCGCGGCCGCCTGTGCTCACAGGTGGGCGGCGGCGGAGGCGCGGCGGAGCGGAGCCTGGGTCTCTGGGACTCCAGCCGTCACACCGAGAGCCCAGGGAGAAGAGCTGGGAAGACGCGTCCACGCCTCGGGAGGAATCAACCTTTCTTCCCCCCACCTGGGCCTCTTCCGCGGCAATCGCACCTCGGCCCCGGAACACAGGTAACTTCCATTCCAAGGTCATTCTTTGGGTGGGGCGGCGCTCGTGGCCCGCCCACGTCCTCACTGTCGGCGGGGGCGGGAGAGGTGCGCCCTGCGCGGAGCGGGAGCAGCCGGGCTGGACGGCGACCCCGGGCGCTGCACGGGCTTCTGGTGGCCTCCCCGGAGCCGGCTGCGCGTGCCGTCCCCGGCGGCAGAAGCTTTTCTCCGCCCGCAGCCCAGAGGGCGAGTTTCCACCTGCACCCGGGCTTTGGGCGGGGACTGCTCGGCCCTCCGCATCCTGCCGGCAGGTGAGCGCAGCCGCCCGTGCTCCGGCTGTCCCGGCCGTGTGGTCAGCTGTCACCGTGGAAACCGCTGATACCCAGAAGACGCCAGCCCTGGTGGGAAGGGGCGGTGAAGGCAGCTGGGAGCCCCTAGAGCTTCCTGTCTGGCGGAGCCCAGCAAGAAAAGCCTGATGAAAAAGAGACTCCCCCTCCCCCGCTTTCTTCTCCTGTTTGATTTCTCAGGCGTTGGCGGATAATCAGAGACGTGGATGTGTTTACAAGATGTGAGTCGTGTTGTTTACACCTTTCCCTACTGAGGGCTTCCTACACCTCGTGGTGACAGGTGGAAATCATGACACAGAAGGGCAGTATGAAGCCAGTGAAGAAAAACAAAGCGGAAGAACCTGAATTGGAGCCCCTGTGCTGCTGCGAGTACATCGATCGAAATGGGGAGAAGAACCACGTGGCTGCTTGTTTGTGTGATTGCCAGGATCTCGATGAAGGGTGTGATAGGTAAGGGCAGAGCGGTTCAGGAAGCTGACCCCACTGGCTCTTTTGAGAACTACCATGCTTGCTTGAAGTGTAGCCATCCAGAACACTAGATTTTGCTCTTGATGCTTTTTCAAAGGATCTAAAATTGAGAGTGATCTTCTGTGTCAGGTGTGAGGATTTCATGAAGGTGAGTTACTCAGTAGTGCACAACTGCACAGCTGTCTATTCTGCTCAGTTTAGTAGGACATTATTACTTTTCACTTAAAGGGAGAAGATGATGGAGAGAACAAGCAAATAAAGGGATAGTGGCAAGTTAAGTGTATAAAAAAATAAAGCGCAGAGCAGTAGAATCTGTACATTTAGAGAATTTATGTATTTAAAAAAAATTTTTTTAAAAGATTGCATTTATTCACCTGACAGAGAGCACAAGCAGGGAGAAAGGAAGAGGAGAGACAGGCTCCCAGCCAATCAGGGAGCCCAATGTGGGACTCAATCCCAGGACCCCGAGATCATGTCCCAAACTGAAGGCATCGCTCAACCAACTGAGCCACCCAAGCACCCAGAATCTGTACATTTAAAGTGAACACATTGGTGCCAGAGAGAACACATTCTCTGTGTTCTCAATGTCTCCAGATTGACTACCTGAGGCTGGACTGTACCTGGCCACCAAGGGTCTTGAAGGCCGAAAGCTCATGTTCCTGCTGTTGGCATTGGTCTCACCCCTTGTCCCTGGGGAGGAAATCCAGCAGCAGGCACATGCCTGCGCTGGGCTGGCTGTTTTTAGCATGGGCAGTGACACTGTCTTGACCGATATTCATTGTATTTGGCTTTTATTTTCACCGTTCTCCAAAGGTTTGGAAATTAATATCCAAAAAGATGATTTTTCAACATCAGGGGAAAAAATTTCTGTACCAAACAGTAATAACGGGGTTTTAAACCATCTTCTAGATAATTATATACCTAAAATTTGTTGCCATATGGGAAGCACAATGTGGGAGGAGAATAAGGATGTTGGAAACTTGGCTTTTTCCCATCAATAATTACTTCCGGTTAAAAAAGTGACTGTAGCGGCACGTTGCTGACTTAAAGCTTGGTGTATTCATCTAGACGTGAAAAGTGTCTTGGGACCACTGTACTGCCCTGCCAGAACCCTGAAGACCCTTTAGACCTTTTGTAATTCTTCCTTAACAGTGTCTTTAGTCTTTTTACAGGTATTTTTAAATGGACTTAGTCTAAAATCTATACGGAGAAAATGGAGCACTCTGCTTTAATGAATGGAAAAATGATGCTGTTTCCATAACCTCCATCACTCGAGACCACAGCTCTTCCATTAACCTCTTTCTCTCTTCTAGCCCTTGAGACCCAGGCTGTCCCTGAGCTCTCTTGCCTGCTCCCGCTGTACCCGTCTCAGGAGATAGG